GGCCAATCTCCACTGGCTGAGGAGCAAGACATTCCGAGAGAACAACAAAAGGAACGGCCCAAGGAAGGGGCATCCGATAACACAGAGAATCCAAAAAGCCAAGCAACAGAGCCATACTTGGCTTTAGCACGAGGCTATGGAAACAGGTCGGCCGTTTTCTTTCACTTGGGGCGCTACCACGAGAGTGTGAGGGACATGGAGAGGGCCCTCAGATACAGCCAAGAGGAATCCTTCAAGAAAAAGCTGTTGGCGAGGAAAGCTCAGTGTCTGGAAGCCATCCAGGAGGGGGCAATAAGGGAAGTCGTCAAGAAACCTTCCATACCTCCGAAGTTAGAGAGCCATAACCCCGCCCATCCCTCCTTGAGCAAATGCGTTCGGGTGGAGGATTCGTCTGCCAAGGGACGCCATCTTGTGGCTGAGCGCGACATTCGTCCTGGTAAGTTTACCATTATCATCAACATTCTCTCTCCTTATCTACTTATTTCATGATTCTCTCTCTCTCTCTCTCTCTCTCTCTCTCTCTCTCTCTCTCTCTCTCTCTCTCTCTCTCTCTCTCTCTCTCTCTCTCTCTCTCTCTTTCTCTGTGTGTGTGTGTGTGTGTGTGTGTGTGTGTGTGTGTGCTGTGTGGTGCAGCGTCTAGCAATCTTGCTGACCTGCGTTTGAATCCCTCGCCACAAGTGGATGGTAACCCCGGCCATTCCTTGCACACAGGGGATAATTTATAAGCAAAATAAAGCAGACAGCATGTCACACCAAGAATATCCATTGTAACAAATGGAATCAAACTAAATTATTATTATTATTATTATTATTATCTCTCTCTCTCTCTCTCTCTCTCTCGTTGTGTGTGTGTGTGGTGTGTCTATCTCTCTCTCTTTCTTTCTGTCATTACGATCATTGTTATTATTATTGCTATTGATATCATTACAAACATTATTCTTATTGTTATCATTACTATCATTATTCTTATTGCATTATTAGCATCACCATCATTGTTTTTATCATTATTGTTATCACTAGTATTATCATTACTATTACTATTATCATTATTATTATTATCATCATTATTATTATTATTATTATTATTATTATTATTATTATTATTATTATTATTATTATTATTATTATTATTATTATTATTATCATCATCATCAACAACATTGCCATTATTACTACTATTATTAACATTACTATTGCTATTATTACATATATCCTATTTTCGTTCTTCAACGCGGAACATTTCACTTCTCTCCGTTTTCTTTTCTTTCTCCATTTTCTTTTTTCTCCGGTTTCTTTTCTCTCTCCGTTTTCTGTTCTTACTCCGTTTTCTTTTCCTTCCGTCAGGTGAGCTCCTGATGGTGGAGGAGGGACACTGGGACACTCTCTCGGCTGACTACCGCTCTACCCACTGCGCCTTCTGCTTCTCCTTCTGCCTCGCCCCCGTCCCCTGTCCCTCCTGCCGGCTGGTCTGTTGGAGTCTGTGGCTTATTTTGTTGTCGTTGTTTTAAGGCTTTGGTTATAGGGTTCGGTTTCATCTCGTTTTCTTCTTTTTTGTTTTATTTTCTTACTTTCTTTCTCTTTACTTTTGCTATTTATTGTTCTTACTTTCACCCTATCTCCCTTTTTCAGTGTGTTTATACATATATATGTAAATATTCATATGTGTAGATGTATAGATGGATTCCATATGATGTCACATGTTTACATTTTTCACAACTGCGCAGGAGCTGGCAGGCGTGGTGGGCCTAACAAGAAACGATCGGAAAACAATAACTATTTTGATAAGCTAATCCTCGCTCAAAGTACATCTTCGTTTTTAATTTACATTTCGTATTCCATGCAATGTTTTCCAGCTCAAACTATTACACAACATTCTAAGCTTACACTCACAGATGGACATACGCTTCCTGATCCGTTCATGCTCCAAGAAGAATGGAAGAACGATGTTATTTCGATGCCTGATATCACCTGGTTTACCATTATTTGTTAAATACGCCAAGCTCTTTCTCAAATGAATTGCTTAAAGCATAAGTCTCTGGAAGCCTACATTTTTTTTTCATTTGTGGGCATGTTCAAGACGTTTTTTACCATGGAATCGACAAGAGCAGTAATTTCTGTTTGATTAAGTCTGAGGTACAGTAATTTTTTTTTTCGTTTTAATTTGTCGAAACTTTACCAACAGCAATTCATTTATTCAGAACAGAAAATTACAGCATTTTTTTTTTTCATTGTTTGTTTTACTAACATTTTTGAGAGGGTAACTTTCAGTGAGACGACTTGGTCAAATAGTGACACAAAATTGAACTGGGAGTAACTTAATTATGAAATTTTCATTCTCTCTGAATGAAAATTTTCATTTTCATTCTATCCATTTTTTCGTAATGCAAGGGACTGTTCATTGTTTTCAAATGGAATCCGATAGAAACTCAAATTTCCACCAGGTTTTCTTCGATTCGTACAGCCAACGGCACAGCACGAGTCGGGCATGTTTGTGGTCTGC